ACAAAAGTGCTATCAGATTTAAAAGATGAACATCTGAAATGTCTTTATCATTTTGAAAAAATGGCAAGGCAAGGAAAAAGCGTTATATCATTTTCAAGGGACACGAGTTTAGCCATTGAACATCAATGCAATTGTTTAAGTGTTGTTTGTAGATATTTAGTAAGCAGTGAATTTAATTTTGTTATATTTGGTGAATTTACCACAGATTATTTAGAAAATGAATTTGGAAAATTAAAGCAAGGATCTGGTGAAGAACATTTTTTAACAGTACAAAATCTTATTGAAAAAACTTAATATTGAAAAAACTAAATTACTCCTCCAATTAAATGTTCATGTTAAAAAATACTAAGTTGTTCCGGACCATAACTGCTGCAAATGTAGAGAAAAAGTATACCAAAAACATGATAACTTACCAGATCCTGACGCTAGGATTTTTAAAGATATTCAAATGACATTATTATCTAGCAGGCATTGTAAAGAAAAAAATGTCCCACAGAAGAAGAAATATTTAATAATACAATTTTTTTTTATTTTCAAGAATATGGAAATATTTCGAATGAATTAGATTGTGGTAATTTAAAATTCCACTGTATGCCAGAGTTCATTTTTTTTATATATAATTTTTGTTGCTGTTAAATTGAAAATTTGCAGGAAAGCTTTGGCAGAAACCTTTGTTAGTTTCTGAAATGCATCTTTTAAATATAAAAAGAAATCATTGTCAAATTTATTTTTAAAAAAATTATTGTCTGTTTGATTCTCTTAAAGCAGCTCACTAACACTGAAAATTTTTAAATTATCTTAAAATTTTATTTATAAGATAAAGATGTTACGATAATCATCTATGTACAATTCCTATTAAGACTACATAATCAATATTAAAAATGCATATTTTTTCAAATACATATGGCATCCATTCATAGAACTATTTATAATTTCGTTTTATTTTTTATTTTCTACCTTTTTAAATACAATGAATTGATTAACTCACCATATTATCCTATTATATCCTGTTAAAGAGAATTGATTTTAATTATTATTAGTAAAACTGTGTGTACTAGTAATAACTATTATCTTAGTGAAAAGAGTATTTTCTTCATCTTCTGTAAAACAAAGTTAGACCCTTTTAGATGTGTCAAAAATCATGGGATAAGATTTACAAAAATGATCAAAATTATTGCTTGTTTGAGATTCAGTATGTCTTCAGGTATTATCCGACTTTGTTGATACAAGGTTTGATAAAATGTTGAACTTCCTTTCTAATTGTATTACACGACAATATTTTCTATGCGTTTATTCAATTAATATAAACAAATTGACCCATTATTTCTGCAATATCGTTTAAAATGTTCCTAATTTCTGGTGAATGAAGTGATGTTTTGTATATTTACTTAGTAGAAGGGGTTAGTTTCCTTCTTTCTTTTGTATATTTGCATTTATGGAAGTAAGTCAATAATTATTATCGTTTTAACGTGCTTCTTAGTAATGGGTAAATTTGATGGATTTTACTAACAGGTTCCTAGCTAAAAATGTCCTCAGAAATTGTTATTTAGTAGTAATTCAAATCCCCCATATTTCCGCCTCCAGTTATAGACCGCAGTCGCTGGGCTACTTATTATAGGTATTGCCTTATTGTCACAAATGCGTTCAGCCAATTCATTAGTCATTTTGAAGGGGTTCATTAACATATAAGATTTATCTTCTAAAACATTCTATGAAACATATCTATCTATCTATCTATCTATCTATCTATCTATCTATCTATCTATCTATCTATCTATCTCGATAGACTGATAAACGATTAATTATTTAACTGAAATGTAATTCTAATTAAATTGTAGGTTTTTAATACAGTGTTCTATATACATTTACATTATATACGTGTGTGTTTGTGTGTGTATTTCATTGAATGTGACAGACAAGATATAATGTTTATTTGCATCATCAGCTTACAACGTTATGAACTGAAGTGACACGTGAAAGCAAAAAATGAAATAACCAAACAGGAAACAAACTAAAATAAACTGCACCAATTGATCAGTACTTAAACAAGTAACTGCACACGAACACCAAGCTGAAGCTGGGCCGGACTATGACCTTTTACGGTCTCTAGGCTAATGAAATTATGAGCCCCGCCCCCTCCGACACTTCGATGGAGCTACCCTCTAACTCACCCGCAAACACCTTGAATATTTTTTACTAGTGATATATTTTAGCCACATTTACATAGCTTGAAGTAAACTTATTTCAAATTCTTTAAATAAACTAAAATAGCTATCTTTTGTTTGTCAATAAAAATATTCTTTAAGATATACCACTATTTTTCTATTTATTGCAAACCAAATTAGCACAGATTTCAACAAAACCATAGGAAAAAACATTTTTTTATAAGCAGCATTCTAACAATGAAACAATCAAAATAATTATGAGTTTGTCATATTGATATCATTTCAGTTTATGAAACTATTTACAAGTTACAACATCAAGAAAATTAAAATCACTGCTTTATAAAAATGTCTAAGATTTAAACATTCCGAATTAAAATCAAACATGCTATCTACTTGAAACACAATGACACAAACTAAAAAATTCTTTTCCTTGCTTTGCTACTTGAAAAGTCTAATAAATATGAGATGTCATATTGATATCATTTCAGTTTATGGAACTATTTAGAAGTTATAACATCTACAATCATTGCTTTATAAAAGCTTTAGGTTGCTGCAAATACTACTCTGAAGGATAATCCGGCCCTGTTCTGAAGCTAGTTTTAAAACTATTGCTCCTGGACGCCCCACTAAAATTGCCTTGTGCCGGACTATAATAAGATTATAAATGATCTACACTGGACATCTACTTTAAAGTGACAATAATCCAGCGATTTTAACAGACTGTGAATCTAGCACTGAATCACATTTTTTAAGTATTAATGTAAACGTCTTGCAAGATCAACATTATTGTTTCGCTTTTAAAGACTGTTATGCGCCAGTTCACAAGTAGTAAGTAGGAAATGTACTGTTTACTAGGTAAATCGCTAGTCTGTCAACGGATTTTTTAACACACTCCAGTTTGTTAACTCAGATATAGCAGGAAAAAACAAAATCGATGACTTCAAATGTAGATAAATATATTAAAAGACGTTTGATGAAATGTTTCTTCTTATTATTCAGTGCCGCGTTACTTCAGGACATAGGCGATCATGGCTCTCCACAACTTCCTATCTCGTGTGTCTCGTATTTTTCTTTGTTAAGGACCCTGTCCCGCTCCGCCATCAATTAACATAAGCTCCTTAGTTAAGTGGCCCACTTCCTTCCCGCTAGCTCTCCTACCCCCCTTACTCATTACGTATCCGAGTAATTTCAGTTTGTCTTTTCCTAATTCTCACTATAAGTGTTCATTCTGTTACCATTTTCTTTAAGATTTCCTTATTGTTTAATCAATGGAATTTTTAGTATCCTTTTATATAATCACATTGGTTCTACTTTCGTTTTCTCATTTGTGATTCTACTGCCTTCTTAAACAGTGACCATAAAATTATTCCATGAAATGAATTTGTCGAAGAACAAGCAGAGGATATAAATAGTGTTATTATTTTTTCAAAGCTTAGCTTAAAGCAACACATGGTCATCATGAAGATTCTGTTGTTCAACTCTTTCAAATGGGGAGGTTGTAATTGCCTTGAAAATTAACTTTCAATATCATTCATTCATAATTTCAGAAAAACGCACTTATATCGACTTATTTATTTAAACTCTTCAAATTAAACTTGAAAAAAGGTCAAGAAAATATTAGCTGCGGAAACTTAAATTTTCATTTTCCTCGCCTTCTCAATGCCTTAAACTTGTAAAAGTTTTACCCTAACTGTACAAAAGCCAGTGAAACTCGTCTCAGGTACGCAAATCTGAGGTTAAACAGTTGAGAGATTAGATAAGCCGGGAGCTGGATATCTGGATGGGAAGGAGGTCTTGATTTAAAACGGTATGATTGGGGAGGGGACAGCAAGCAGTAGTGGGGGGGTAATCTGGTGGGGTGAAAGTAGCCAAGGGGAAAATGGAGGATATGAGATCTGTGGCGAAGTAGCAATGAAGTGTAAAATAAAGTTTTAAAACGAAGAGCAGAGGCGGATGCGTGTGCGTGTGCGACGAGTCGTGATGGGGTGGAGCCGAAAGCATTGGTATCAACAGGTACACACGCATTTCTGGATTAAGAAATCGAAGAAGCATTTATAAGGTAAAGATCAGTCAAGAAATACTTGTCTCGAAGTCATTTCGAGTTGCTCTCATTAAGTCCATATCTATCTATCTATCTATCTATCTATCTAAGTCTCCTCATTATCTATCTATCTATCTATCTATCTATCTATCTATCTATCTATCTATCTATCTAAGTCTCCCCATTATCTATCTATCTATCTAAGTCTCCTCATTATCTATCTATCTATCTATCTATCTATCTATCTATCTATCTATCTATCTATCTATCTATCTATCTAAGTCTCCTCATTATCTATCTATCTATCTATCTATCTATCTATCTATCTATCTATCTATCTAAGTCTCCTCATTATCTATCTATCTATCTAAGTCTCCTCATTATCTATCTATCTATCTATCTATCTATCTATCTATCTATCTATCTATCTATCTAAGTCTCCTCATTATCTATCTATCTATCTATCTATCTATCTATCTATCTATCTATCTATCTATCTATCTATCTAAGTCTCCTCATTATCTATCTATCTATCTATCTATCTATCTATCAAATTCCTCTTCATTATCTATCTATCTATCTATCTATCATTCTATCTATCTATCTATCTATCTATCTATCTATCGTAATCTCTTCATTTATCTATCTATCTATCTATCTATCTATCTATCTATCTATCTATCTAATAAACCTAGTTAGTGCATTTTGGCAATATTTCTCTCTTCTAGTAACTGGGTACTTTTTATCTAGAACATGATGGGGGCATATGTTTGTCAAAGTGACTGTCGATAAATTTATGTTACACTGGATGGTGTGTGCAGACATTTTTTCGGAGAAAATTTCTGGGGCGAGAGAAAGAAAATGAAGAAAAAGTAAATGAAATACAAATAAAGGAAAAGCAGATAAAACGAAAGATGGGAAAGACGTGGAAAAGGAGAATGTAAGGCAGTAAAACAGTAAAAAAAAAAAAAAAGATGAATAAGAAGAAGGGAAATAAGAGAAAAGGGAGAGACAGAAATGAAGAAAGAGATAGAATAAGAAGGAAACAGAAGAGGGAAAACCAAAGAATTGAAAAGAGAAAGAGGAGAAAATCGAAAATATAATGAAAGAAAAACTAAAAGAGAAAAAGTAGGAAATGGAAAAAGAAAAAAGACGAAAAAAAAAAGAAGAGCAAGATAAAAAGAGAGAAAGAAAGAAAGAAGGATATATAGAGAGAAAGAAAGAAAGAAAGATGGGTAGAAAGAAAGAAAGAAAAGAGAAAGTAGAACAGAGTTAAATCAGGTAATGAGGTCAAATTATTTCGATGGGAGGAGATAAGGCCGGTTCAAAGTTATCGACTTCTCTTATCTTGCTGGAAGAGAAAGTTTTATGAAGAGAAACTTGTCCGGTCAATATTTCGCTGATCGAATGGATTTATTTGGTCATGGAATAACCAATGAAAAAAAAAAAAAAAAGAATCTCTCAAAGTACATGGCTCCCTTTTCATTCTGTACGAAATCGGTTGAGGGATAGAATACAAATTATCAATTCAGAGGAATCCAGACTAATAAAGAATCTTTTGTGGGAAACGATTATCAAGAAGCCTTTATATTAACAAACTTTCTTCTATGTGCCATGTCTCTTCATGAAGTTGGCGATCATGGCTCTCCACAATTTCTTGTCTTTTGTAACTCTGAATAAATTTTGGATGCGAGATGCCGCCGCCGACGACTATTCATAAACGTTATTTCAATAAGAAGTAAACACAATTTGTTCAGACGAAGATGCTTCGAAATGTCCTGTACTATTTCAACATTTCTCACCAAATTAATACTAAAATAATGTGGAATAATTAAAAATTATAAACGAGGAAAAATCAATTAAAAAATCTAATTTCTATAACATATACAGATATTTTTCAAAATCCAGTATTTAGATGCTGCGCCTAAAATACGTTTCGTTTCGGTGGCAAAGATTTTTGTTCAACCGAAAATTGCTCTGATCACTCCGTGAAACGAAATGTCCCCAGATAGCCTTATTTTTTTATTCTATCGGATGACATCCAATTTTAATCAAACATTTGCGTGCAGGTGTGTGTGTGTGTGTGTGTGTGTGTGTGTGTGTGTGTGTGTGTGTGTGTGTGTGTTTGTTATGATGTTAAGAAAAGATCTAATTTGAATTCAGAAAACACTTTTAGCTGCTTGCGCGAACACACTATAAAAATGTCTTCCATGGCCGAAGAATGGGGTCAGGTTTTCCCTAACTTTATTGAACTCTCTCTCTCTCTCTCTCTCTCTCTCTCTCCGCACATGCATACACATACTCACTTCTCTCTTACCCACGTTTCTGTGGTATCTAAATTTCTCTTCCATCGTGTCTCTCCCTCTCTGCTTTCCAACGCAGATCTCATTTATAAAAAAATAAATAAAAAGTTAATTGCAAGATGTAAAAACAATAATCCCTTTAATACAGAAAGGATACCTGCACATCATTTACGCGTAGATAACCAGAGTTTATATTTTTGTCACTTAACGCGACCTTTTTATAAACCGATTGTGTGTCATTCAAAATACAGACACACACGCGCGCGCGCACACACATACACACACAGAGGTATATAAATGTTTAAATGAGGGATTGCTGCCTAAAAACAATATATATATATATATATATATATATATAAAGACAGAAGGAAAAAGACAAAAAAAGTTTCCCCAATATAGTGTAAGGAACAGTTGTTACAGTTTATTTTATATATACCTACTTAAGAATTGTTATTGTTATGGATATTTTTGTTCTGTTAGCCTAATCTATATTTATGAGCGTTTTTAAATTTAAAATTCTGAAAACCTGCCAATATTTTTACTCCTGTTTATAAATATTTGTTTCAAAATAAAATCCTTACAATCTCATTCATAAAATCGATCAGAGTACGAAACGCGCCGGTTAAGATACATTTTCCTTTTGACTATATATATATATATATATATATATATATATATATATATATATATATATATATATATATGCCGATAGGGATAGGTCAAACGATCAGATATAAGCAAGCGTATACGCTTGTGTCCATACGCAGGGAAGCAGATAAATAATCATCAAATTTATACATGAGGGGTAAACATAATGTGGCTAGAGAGAGCAAAGATATATATTAATTGGTAGATATACGTGTACCTACGTTTTAATGTGCGACATAAGTTTCGCTGTATGACCAGCTCGTCGGGCACAAATTTTATCTTAACAAATGGCTTATGGGAGGAGCGCTGCACGTAACCCAAAAATAAAATTGGACAAAAAGTGTAGTAAATGCGATGCAGGTGACTTAATTTTTTAGAAATAGAATAATATAGAAAGATTGTAAAAAAAATAAAAGCAACAATGATGTTGTGCCTGACGAGCTGCAGTTCAGCGAAACTTCAGTCGCAAACCAAAACGTCGGTACACGTAAATGTACTAATATATATATATATATATATATATATATATATATATATATATATATGTATGTATCAAATGACAATTGGAAAAAAAAATCATACATTTTGCCGACGCGTTTCGTCTTCCGACTTTTTCAAGGCAAATATGAAATCGAAATGTTTTTGCTGTTATAGTTACATTAAAATTCAAAATTAAAAAGATAGACGCTAGTGTTTAAGCCTTTTTTCTGGTTAATGTAAATTACCTTTATAGTAAGGGATTATTATTTTTTTTTTCATGTCGACAATATAGTTAAATTCCCATGTATGATTTTTTTCCAATTGTCATTTGATGCCAATCTCTCTTGTCCACAGAATTCATCTGGGAATTTAACTATATATATATATATATATATATATATATATATATATATATATATATATATATATATATATATACATTAACGGCGTAATCCTTTGTTGTTGAATACAAAAAAGACTATTTTTGTTTTACTATAAACGTGAGACTAATTTCAGATCCAAAATGATTGCTCGAGAAAATATTTTTTCAATAGTCAAAACCAAATATTAGTAACTTATATGTTTTTATGTCACCTCGCCGCAGATGATGACCGACGGAACAGTCGAAAGTACAAGCATCCCCTCTACACAATTTTCCGCATTCATCTACGGACTTTTCATTCAAGGATTTCCGTCTAATTTAAGGCGTTTGGTTCGAAACCAAGAAAAGTTGATTAAAAACGTCATTCTTTGCCACGTTCAACAACAAAGGAGAAATATGACATTCATACATAAAATGAAAGCCCAGACGGATGCATGTCTGTCTTATCGCGTCCAAAACAGCTTTCATTGGCATTCACGAAAATAAACTCTCTGATGCTGGTGACTTACACATGTGTTGCTTTCGAAGATATTCGTAATACCGAAACGGTTATCCCAGTCAAACTATTCCAGACCCCACGAAATTATGATTCCATCCCGCCTAAGGGAATGCCGAAGGTAACACTAATGACAAACTTTATATTTGTATTAATTATATATTTATATATTTATATATATTAAAAGGTAATACACATTCTATGCTTTCTAAGAGGCAGATTTTCTTTATTACGTTTTTCAATCTCTAGGTTGGTAGACAGTAATTTCATTGTTTAAGAAAGTGAGTGCTTAATCACATATATTCGTCCTCTAAATATAACATTTAAATTAATAAGATTAATGTTGGATTAAAAATCAATTCATTCGGTACGATAAAATAGTTATGATTGTTAGCAAAAGGGACAGCCTAACATTCAAATTACAAATTATACCGAAATGAAATAAGTACAAAAAATCTAGGAAGTCTTTTAACAGAGGACGGAAAGTGTGACACTGAAATCCGAATATGCATTGGGATGCCTTCCAAAAGCTAAACAAAATATTTAAAAACAAGAAAATTTCATTAGAAACAAATAAAAGAGTACTGAACTATCATGTAGTATCACTCCTCCTATATGGCAGAGGATACCATAGACCATTTATATTTGACATCAGGAAAAGACTGTTGAAATTTCTATGGCATATATTGAGGAAAAGTGATTTAGCAAATTTGATACCCACAAGACAGATTGAAGGCAGGAAACGACAGAAGAAAACAGTGTTTGACCGACGTAGTGGACTTGAGTAAGTGGATGGCGGAACAATGTTTAGGAGAGATAACAAAAAGATAAAATTTATTAAGAGCTACAAAGGACATGATCGTTAATGAACATGGCAGGTAGAAGAAGACAGTCCCAAAGAGATATGTCCATTTCTTAAATAGGGCCACTGAGCCTTACTTTGCTCCAATGGCTTCGCGTAGCTTAATGGTAAATTACGCTTGGCTTGGAAGCGTCTTCCAAGATTAAAAATGGAAAAAACGACAGATTCCTGTCGGAAGTCCCTTATAAGTATTTAGAAATCTAGACAAGTAACTATTATTTTTACTGTTTAAAAAAATACGGATATTTACTCAAGTACTATTAACCAACATTATAGTAATATATGTTTGTCTGTGTGTGTGTGTGGGAGAGAGAGAGAGAGAGAGAGAGAGAGATTAGAAATTTGTAACTTTTTTGTCATGAACATTTCTAACGCTTTAAATAAGTTAAACATTTCAAGTAAGAAACAGAGCTGCTATTAAGAGTGTGGAAATAATATGTGGGGACAGTGTCTATTCATATAAAGATAGCATTGTTGCGATACAAACATATTCACACAGATTGGACAGCTTCTTAGTGTGACCTACAAACCTATTAACCTACCGACCCACATCTTTGACAACCGGTTGATATACAAATTTACACACACACAAAATGTGTATATATATATATATATATATATATATATATATATGTGTGTGTGTGTGTGTGTGTGTGTGTGTGTGTGTGTGCGCGCGTGCGTGCGGGACGTCTGTTCATAAGAAGTAAGACATGCATTACTTAACCTATAAAGATTATTCCGTACATAATTTAAAATAGCTTTATTTAGCTTAACTTAGTATTTATTTAACTTGTATTATACCTCATATAAGAAATTTATACCTACTGAAATGAATATCTATGAAATTAATACCTACTCTAATAATCATCTATAAAATTGGATACCCATCTATAAAATTTATACCTACTGTAATGAACATCTAAGAAATTTATTCTCTAATGAACATCTCTGAAATTTATACATGCACTAATGAACATCTATGACATTATACCTGCTCTAATGGATATCTCTGAAATTTATACCTACTGGAGTGAACATCTCTGAAATTTATACCTGCTCTAATGAACATCTATGAAATTTATACTTACTGGAATGAACACGTTATCAGGCATTAGTCTTTGAAAATCTGTAGATCTGATACGCAAAATTTAATATGCACTAATCTCTATCCACAATAAAATATGACATTTGTAGACGGAATACAGACTAAATTTAGAATAAGACTAAAGTCGAGCAGTACGCATAGCGTCAATCTGTCAGTAGAATTTTCTACGAAAACCAGATTTTGTAGCAAAATTTATGCACATTCATTTAGTCCAAGAAGAACTGAACTGTTTAAAATGCTATGTTATGATAATATCTTATATTACTACTTATTATTTATATGATAAAATATTAAAACTGATTTACTTCCCTGTTATTTGCATACCATAATAAATTTTCCAGGATATGCCGACGTCGGCCTCTGTGGCTAATGATTTGATTTCCATCAGCAAAACCAAGATTCTAATTCTCGCGCGTCTAGTATATACACACACGTAGTGTACATACCAACCAAAATCCCCAGGGAGGATGAGTCCAATTACATAACAAAAGATGGTAGAGCCAAGACTTAAAGGCTTGACATGTTAAAAACAATCTTGATAAAAAAAAAACACGTCACCAGAACACGAAAATGATTTATATCTACAAATTAGTGCTGAAACCATAACATTTGAATATATATATATATATATATATATATATATATATATATAGCCTCTAACTTTATCTATCTATCTATCTATCTATCTATCTATTATATATATATATATATATATAAATAATACCAATTGGTAATTGGTAGTGATAATGCCAAGAAGGAGAGTTCAATTTAAGTAACAAAGCAATATAATAATAAGACAATCCTTAAAAAAAACATTTCGTTTATAATTTATTTCATGAATATATTTATGTAAATATTCATATCATCAGACCAAAGGTTTTTTAGAATAAAAAAAAAACCCTTTGGTCTGAAGAGATGAATATTTAAATATATTCATAAAATAAAATATATCCGAAATGGATTTTGACGGATTGTCTTTACTTATGTGTGTGTGTGTGTGTGTGTGTGTGTGGTGATGCAGAGAAGACAGACATTTTTGAAATGACTATTACTCAATTCCAGATGGAGGGACATATATCTGATAGGTACCATTCGGTCCGTGCTGTTTTAGCATTTTTTTCCCTTTTCAGATGAAGCCAATGGCGCTGTGGATAATAGAGCACACGGCGTGTTCGCCTACGACAGTTTCGTGAAGAATAACGTGTATGCCACAACATTTCAGCGTGAGTCTCGTCGCCGATTCAGCATTCACCGAAATGAGGCTGTTTTTCACTCGTAATACAGACCTATGTTGGGTTCATGCACTTTGTACACGAGGTACACTAATAAATAGGAGACAGGTGGGTACCCAACGAATGGTACGTACACAAGAAATTGTGGAACGTGTCAGCCTGAATCACTCTGCTCGGAGGCATGCTACTAAACTTGGCATCGATAATCATTCGGTAAGGCGTATTTTGCGCGAAGATCTACATTTCCACTCCCAACAAATTGGTCATTGGGCAACAGTTATGACCAAGGAACTATGCGTATCGGCTTAACTTCGCACGTCACGATGGAAGAAATTTTTGAGTCAAACGAAAACCGCATTTTGTTAATGAGTAATGAAGCTCATAGAGTTGTCGTTATTGAGCTCTTGAAAATCCAAAAGAACTGCACGAAAGACCACTGCAGAGCCCAAAAGTAACGGTTTGGTGTACTTTTGAAAAATATGGGGTCATTGTTTTTTTTTGTTTTTTTGAATACCATAATGTAAATGCTGCTACTGCGAATTCCGAGCGTTACATCGAGATGATAAACAACTTCCTTGTGCCTGAATTATGACGAAAATATATTCCTATCCGATGTGTGTGGTTTCAGCAGGATAGGGAGACGACCCACACAGTCAGACCATCAATAGACGTTCCTTGGCCTCTCTTCGGTAACTGTCTCCTTTCTAGGTTTGCTGACACTCCTTGGTTCCCTCGGTCCCCTGATTTGTCCATGTGCGATTATGTCTTGTGGGGGAAACCTCAAGGCACGTATGTGTGAGGATAAGCCTCGTTTGAAGGAAAACTATTCACGTGGAAGTCGTCCAAATCAACAGAGCAATGCTGGAAAGAGACGAGACGAACTTTCAAGAACGCTTTCAGAAATGCATCAACAAAAACTAACACCACATGAAGGATGATGTTTTCCACATTTGATTTTGTCAAATGCTAATTCAGTAGCTAAAATTAATGCTGATGGGAATTTTTCAAAAAACATCTGTCCTCTCTGCCTCACCTTATATATATATATATATATATATATATATATATATATATATATATATATATATATATATATATCGGCTCGATCGAGCAATCGGTGAGTCGAGTTCAAATTCTAGTCGGGTTCGTTACAAATACTTATGCGCGGGTATCCTTGACAATGGTATGTATATCAATCTCTTCTCTCCTAGCGTTAGGTAAATAGTACGGCAAACTGGGTCCTTAAGCCTTGAGCAGCAAACGGTTCTAGGAGAAGAACAACTCTGAATTCAAAAGCTGACGAGGGTTGTTTTTGGCACCTTGTGGCACACTATAAAAATGTAGTTGGTTCTGCACAAACCTTCAGCACTATAATCTAATTATATGTGTGGACGAATGAGACAATTAGCCGATAAATTGAAAACAAATATTGTATAAAATATATAATATATATATTTTGCTTACTAGTATACGTATCCGTATATATATATATATATATATATATATATATATATATATATATATATATGATATATACAGGATAGATGAGACCGACTTGAGCACAATTCCAACGTTCATTAATTTAATTTAAAAAAGGGCTCAATACAGATTAGAGCAATATTATTTATTTTAGGATATTAAAACAACATGTAAAAATCGCTACACATTTGCAATTGTTTTTCAACGCATACCATTGCGTCTCCTCAGACGATTGTAAATTCCTGGCGAGTGAACGATTAATTTTGTTTCAAAAGCAAAATATATATTCTTATATCCTTTTTTTATAAAAAAGAGAATTTATTTTGCTTTTGAAACCTAATTAATCGTTCACTCGCCAGTAATTTACAATCGCCTGAGGAAACGCAATTGTATGCGCTTAAACACGACTGCAATTGTGTAGCAATTTTACATGTTGTTTAATATATATATATATATATATATATATATATATATATATATATATATATATAGTTTTGAAAATAGGGATAAATTTATGGATAAAAGTTTTAATCGTTTATATTTTGTTCAAGAACCTTCAGCCGTTTGCGTCAAGAACTTTGTATTGTGATAGACAAGATTTTGTTGGTTGCAATTTCGTATTTTTAAAGTCATTACATGCCAAGATTTAGCGAATAACTTTTTGACAATGACTGAGATAATCAAATGTACTTAAGCAAAAGCAGGAAAATGGGAATTTCATTGAGTTTATCCACAACTTTTATCCTGATGTATCTGAAAATTGAAAAAATACTGAAAAAATTGAAAAATACAATAAAACTTTAAACTGAAGAGGACTGAGAATCTTGTTGGTCGGTTCGAACATCTTTCTGAGTAGGACAGGCGTAATGTTGGCAGACATTATTTGATGCAACATTACATCAATTTGTAGGAATGACAATTTAGTGGGCGCACGATTTACATCTTCAAAAGTTGATTTTTAAAACAATTTCAAACTTTTAATGTGTATGTTTCAAGTAGCCTTCTATGGAGACAGAACTCTCGTCTTCACGAAAAGGCAATTGGACAATTGCTCTTGCAGTACATATCATTACGCTAGCAATGTCTTATTCGTTACATAGACTGTTATTGAATTTAGATGTCATAACGCTTAGTCTGACTCAAGGCAGGATATTATATTGAACGTAATGTGAAACTGTCTGTATTAAATATTGATTACATCGAGATAGAGTTATGAATAGAGCAGAGAGGCAGAGAGAGACAGAGAGAGAGAGAGAGAGAGTCCATGGAAGAGAGGGAGATGAGATGATGATGATTATGATGATAATGATAATGATGACTGGAGGATTATGATGATGATGATGATTGAAGAGAGAATGGGAGAGTACTGAGACTGAGAGAAGAGATAAAGAGAATGTTACAGAGAGGGGGAAGGATAGACTAATTCTCATGAAACAATAGATATAAGATAAAGTAAAGAAGGGAGATAACATTGAATTTTTACTTAAAGGAAAGAGAGAGAGAGAGAGAGAGAGAGAGAGAGAGAGAGAAAGAGAGAGAGAAAAGAGAAAAGTTGAGAGAGACACGTGGAATATCAACCGACTAAGGCCAACCGAAGTCGTTCGGGATCATAGAGTTCATTGTGAACTCCACAATCCTATCATTAGTTGCATATACTATGTGCTTCACCAGGGCTACATTTGTTTTTTTTAATTCAGAGTTGTCCTTGTCCTAGACTGGTTGTAAACCATGACTGAAGAGTCCAGTCTGCTATACTATTTAATCCATTGATGGAGGGGGAGATAGATTCATAAATTCTTCAAGGATATTTCCGCGGAAGTGAATATAGCAGACACGACTCCGATTTCTCATTTCAAGGTGCTATCCATTACAACACCTGCACAACACCTGCACGACACATGTACACCACCTGCACAACACATGTACACCACCTGCATATCACCTGAACATCCAGACTGCAAAAGAAAAGTTAGTATAACGACGAAATGAATTCAAGAATATTTCAAATAAATCTGTGCGAAGGTGAGGAAAAGCAAGAAGTTTTAGTTACTTTTTGTGGATACCCGTATTTGAATAGACACCCCTCTTTTAAACGTCTGCCTATCTGTGCACCTCAGGAAAATTAATAGAAAAAATATACCCTCCGGCAAGGTTCGACACTGCATCCCTAAATTTATGGTAATAATTTGGCTTCTTCTGTTGATTGAATCCTGAATTTTATGCAACACTAGCAGCATGGCCCCGGCGTTGCCCGTGCTTGATTCAAAAATCGTACGACTCATACAGCAATCGCTATCACTTGACTTAAAATATTTTTGCCCTTTCTTGCCTTTAAAGGAGTGCCCTTTGCCGTGCTGATGTTGCTACATGCCTTACTTCTTGCCTATCTACACTGCAAATTTTTTCTAAGCTCTATACTAAACATTAAATCTGTTACGAAAAAAGAACTAAACAAAATGAACACAAATCGATCAGCTTTTAAAAAAGGACTCGTAATTGGAAAAACCGAATGAAAAAGAATATTAACAACAAATACTTTTTCACACCCAACCCAGTTCTGCGTAATCAGAATCAACGTTGAGTTTAAGCAAGCCAATGAGCCAATTGGAGTAAAGTGCCATGCAGATTTAAATTTTTCCCACTTGTGACGAATGTAGCTATCGATTTTTTTTTGCATGCTAGCATGCTAGTTAACATTCGTGTCAGTCAGCTGTTGGCTCTCACGCCTATCTTCCTGCCTATTCGTGGCAGCCAGCTATAGGCTCTCACTCTGGCCAGTAGAAAATGGCCGCAAACTACATGAAAACTGCCGTAGAAGCATGAAAAATCGATTATTTTCACTGTCGATGGGAGTTGGGAAATGCAAAGTCGGTCTTGGCTTTTCCGCTAACCTGGAGCATGTGCATGTAAATTTTGGTGCAAATCCGTCGAAAATTGCGGCCATGCAGTCGTTACACACACACACAACACACACACACACACACACACACACACACACATCTTGCCTTTTATAGATAGAGATTAGCCTCATACCATGAGTTGGTGTTTTATGATTTTACGCTTAGAACATAAGTTGTGCACCGAAAGAAAATTTTCATAGACATTTTGAACGTTATTTAATGTTAATAGTGTTATGAAAAAAAAATGGATGAAGCGTTTATAGCAAAAGATGCAACAGGTAACACCGGGAAGTATTTGAATACAAAACCAAATTTTACCATTATGTGCTCCCTCTTCTACACAGCCATGGACCTTGTCTAGACACCAATATTCAGAGAGAATCAATTGATCAATGAGCAATTACTGTCCATGTAATTAATTAGTCACTAATTAATTAAATTATCTAAGTAAATCCATCACAGCAAAACATGCCCGTGTTTGCATAAACGTTCCAATTGAATATCACTTCAAACACGGCTTTCACTACAGTTCATGTAAATTGTGTTAGAAAAAGATCCGAAGGAAAAATCCTAAGATGATTTTGCGTTTTAATGCGAACTGAGTGAGTAATATTAGGTTTTCTGATTTTTATTTAAAGGATAAAAATTGGTGTGTGTCACTTCTTTTCGGTTAAGCTTTAATTGATCCATTGAGAACAAAAGCACAACTGACACAGCTAAGAATCAGATCAACTTGATTGAATCTATAAACAACTCGCTTAACAACAAAAGCGGTAATCTTTTTTCTTATATTTTTGGAGTGCGTAGGCCGGTAGACATTATGCACAATGTTTAAAAAAAATGGCCGTCTACTCAAATACGGACATTCACTAAAAGTAAATTCTAAATCCATTAATTCTTTGTATATAAGGTTAAGATATGTAGATACAAAGTGAAAAGTAAAAATCTATATACAACATAAAGGTACAGGAATGAGAGTGAAAAATAAAAAAAAAATATCGGGAAAGATTGACAGACTAAAAGAAAAAAGGACAGCGATTGAAGAAGAAGAAGAAGAAGAAGAAGAAGAAGAAGAAGAAGAAGAAGAAGAAGAAGTGAGCGATATGTAAAAAAAAATGTGTAAAATGACGAGAGACTAGAGTTATTGATATGTCCGGATCTTAATTTATAAGCATTTTTTTTTTTTTTTGCTTGTCTTTCCCGCCGAGAATGGAGCCAATCGGACAGGGAGGCGAACAGAGTCGGCCTTGTGCCATGGACATTCCAGAAAACAGACTATGAAAGCACCACCCTCTACCAACTTCCCTTGCATTGAATGGTGACGGCCAAGCAGAGACTTTGTGGCACCATCGGGCGTCTTTGGCGGACGCCAAGGAGGAAGAACCTGACCGACCAACCATCTTGGGCCGCGAGCAGGCCAACATACGCACACACATACACGCACGTACGTGAGCGTATTAGCATGTATTTGTGTGCACACAGGCGTGAACACTTATATATGTGTAGAGATAAAGGTAAACGCACATGAATATAATTTGGGTGGTTGCAGCATTTTTAAAATACTTTTTTTTTTAGATGTAATATCAATCACCAAGTATTCGTGCAGAAAATTCGTCATATCTGTCTGGCTTGCTAGTGTGAGCTATCCACACACACACAAACATCTGCTCACACATATGCACACACATAAATACATGAATCAACTAAAGAGATACGTATATATAGCAATCTATTTAGTTCATTCATTAACGCGAATTCTTATCCATATTTTCGCTGCGCGTTCACACATACTAAAGCACGTATTTATATACATATACATATACACACAAAATTATATGCATATAATTACATCACATACACACACATTCACATGCACATTTCTGTGTATGTACGTGTGTGTACATGTTTGTGTATGTGTGTGCGCGCATGCCCAGTAAATTGCGTCTAATCATAACTCTCAAACAATTTGTTATGCAGCCCTTTTCGCCATTGAAGATGAATTTTTCAAGCCATTTTACTTGTGTATATCAACGTGATGAGGTAAGCAGGCAGTCGAATTTAAAAGACTCAAACACACACACACACACACACTCACTCCCACAAATTTTATGACCCTATGTTTGGCAAAAGTATACTTGACGAGTAAATTGATAAATTTATATATATATATATATATATATATATATATATATTTGTATACAGAGAGAGAGAGAGAGAGAGAGAGAGAGAGAGAGAGAGGGAGGGAGGGATGGAGAGAGAGAGGGGGGAGAGAGAGACCGAAAGAGAGCCTGTAGACATAGGAATAAACGCTGCATGATGATTGTCAATTTCACAGTTCAATGCGATCTCCAACCGATTTCCAGACTCTATTTGAAAACCTCAGTGAAGTGTGAAACCGACAGCCACCATGCAGTGTTGATTCATATATTCACACTGTCTCTCTCTATATATACAGTCTATTACTAATACTGAGAATTCTACTACTATAAAAATAGCAAATTTTACATTCACACACACAGACGCATCACACACACACACACACATATATATATATATGCAAGTGGATTCGTCCTGTGTGAACAGCAGTAATTAGTGAAATATTTGCAAAACCCTTGGCGGGGTGGTGGTACCTATTATGGTTCCAACTATAGGCAAATAGTTAAACACTAACAAAATGGGGGTCAAAACACTATGAAAATATAAAAATACATTTTAGAGTAAAAATACCGGTAATATGTTTTCATAGTAAAAAAATTAACAAGCAACACATAGAAGAAGAAAACATATTACCAACAACAGACAAAAAATAATATCAGAAATGATTTTTGAAAAAAAAGAAAATATTTACATACTTATTAAAAAATAAAATTACCAGCAACAAAATCTTTGAAAAAAAAAATACCAGCAATGCATTTTTGTAAAACAAATTACTAATGCTCCGAAGAAAAGTAAATTTCGGCATTAAATGACCCATAAGGTGTTGATATGCCGCTAAACAAACAAACAAAACCTTTACTTTTGGAGTCATCAATTAATGTATACTGGTGAATGAAATATTCTAAATGCCTTTAATCTTCTTTTTAATTAGGGTTCATCTGCTTACGTTCGAATATTATTATTCTTTTATGTGCCGTGTCCCTTCAGGACGTAGGCGATTGTAAATCTTAATAAGTTTTGTCTTTTTGTTATTTCTCCCAAACTTTGCTCCATCATCCATTTGCTCAAGACCATCAAATATGTTACGTGTTGCTTTCCACTGTCCCTCTTTCATTCAATCTGTCATGTGAGTATCAGATTTTCCAAGTCCATCTCCCTCATTACGTGCCCCCAACATTTCAACTATTTCTCCCTGATGTTAAGTATTAGTTTCCTCTTTGTTTCCATTCTCTCCAAAACCCCATCGTTCGGCCCATAGTATCCTCAGCATCCTTCTGTAGAAGCACAATTCTGTTGCTTTGAGAAGGTTGTCCAGCGTTCGCTGCCATACAAGAGGACAGGTATCACATAATAGTTCGATACTCTTTTCTTTGTTTCAAACGAATTTTTTCTGTCTGTTAATACTCCGCTTAATTTTTGGAATGCATCTTTGGCCATTCCAATATGTCTTCGGATCTCAGTGTCGCATATTCCGTCCCCTGTTAGAACATTTCCCAGATATTTAAAATTTTCTGCTTGTTTGATTTTAGGATCCCCGATATGTAATTTGCATTTTGGACTCAATCCCTTTTGCTGATAACCATGCATTTTGTTTTCTTGCAATTTATACTTAGTCCTTTGTTATCTCTTTCCTTTTAGTTAGTTTTCATCTGCTTATGGTCGAACAAAATAATGATATTTTAATTTTATATCAGGATTGTTGCTTGTGTTAGTTTTCTAAACTTTTTTAAAGAGAAATTTATTCGTTCGTCGACGACCTGGTTAGGGAAACTATTGTTGATAAGTGTATATTTTCAGCTGTTTATAATGTCTCCGAAGAGGAAATTAATTTTGCTGGGTTAATCATTATTTTCATTTTGTTCCTGTCCGGACATTTCCCTTTTGGATTTTATATCGTGAAATAGTAAAATCATTATTGTTAGCGTCAACGAAAGAGTCGAGTGAAGACTTTCTTAATGTTAAGTTCATAAATGTAGGGACACATTTATAAAGAGAGTTTAAACATTTAATGAGACTATTAAGTTTATTTGAGTGCAGTATTTCAAGAAATTCGTTGATGCTATTAACACTGTATTTATTAGGTAACTATGGTAAGGTCAGTTGTTTTAAAATTGTTGATAATTAACATACCAAGGGAGAGATATGTAAAATTATGGCACGTAGGAACGAGATTGGTTTGAGTGTTCATACGTTACCATATAAGTAGCCAGGGTAATATTCACCAACAATTTCGCTGAGCTGGATCCTATTTCAGCGTTATTAACTGTGATGAGTTTATTTATTTGCGGTTTATGGACGGTTGATAATGTTTTTGTAATTTTTTCTTTTAAATTTACCTTTGTTGTAAAGAAGTGAATCTAATTTTGTGTTGTTCAGTCTTGTTTAAAATAAGGAAAATTTTAGGTTTATCAGTCTTCCTAATTAGAATGGTTTTGCTCTTTCTAAGTTCGATGTAGATTTGTGTTAATGAGTTGTATTTTATTTTGTAGTTATATCTACATTTTCCTGCCTTCAGATTTAAGTAAAGTTGTCCAGAATGAATTGTGATGCCTTGTCGTTTTGGAGTCGTAAGTTTTGTGGGTTTTTTTTTTTATATAGAATTTCAATTTCCGCCTCATATTTTTTTTTTTATTACTGTCAAAACTGGAGTAGAATCCTAGTTTAAGAAAATCTTTTTGTTATTTTTCTAAGTTGCAGTTTGGGAGTTTTATAAACTTATTAAAAGGAATCAGAAAGCTATATTTTACTTTTATTTTGCCTTTATCAGAAATATACAGTATATACTCGTGTAACGCGCGATCTAGCGTATCGTGCGACCCCCCTCCCCCCTAAAAAACTTTAAAAATTGATTTTATTATGTATCTCGTGTATCATGCAAATTGCTTTTCTGAGAGGCCAAATTACAATAGACTAACCTAGGTACCTCTATTATTTCGCGAAAATCTAATATAGCATGACAAGAACGGTCTGAAAATTAACGAAAAAAATTTTTTTCATGATAAAAGTATATTTCATTATTGAGAAGAAAACACTAAAGTATTTTTTTTGAGTAATTTTGAAATTTTTTACTCATTCTTAGCATGTCCGAAATTTTAAAAAAACTTGTTTACAGAAAAAACGAAAAAAGCTCTATATCAGCCATATTTTTAAAAATTTTAAAAATAAGTTAAATTCTTCGTTTAAAATTCGTTTAAAAATTAATTATACGTATTTCAATATTTATTCGAAGAAATTTAGAAAATTTAAAGTTTATTTAAAATATTTTGAAAGAAACTTTTACTTACTTTCTTCGTAGAAAAATGTTTTTAAAGATAAAAGAGCCGATCTTCACGTTGCGTTGATTGACAGAGTGCCAAGTGATGACATCTATAAATTATTGACAGCTGACGTGAGATTCGAGTTCCCATACGGAAGCACAGAATGGACATATTATTTTTTAAACGGACCTACTTAAGTTTTGCAATATTTAAAGTAAAAAAAAAACTTTCGCCATTACAATTTTTTTTTTTGTTAACTACTATGTACCATAGGTTTGTTGATACTTCTGAGAAATTATAAATACTATTAAAAAAAACTAAAATACAAGTGCTGCACAATGTTTGAGGGCCCATATAGACCCCTCTAAAGTCAATTCAGATTTGCTATTATAAAAAAAAAAATTCTATCCCCAGTAAAAAATAATCAAACATAGTAAAAGTCATTTTGTCACAGCCTATATTCTCGGAAAAAATAAATAAATGGATTCTTATATTTTTATGTAATAAAAATTACTTATCTGGAAAAATACCAGGTAAAGTTTATCTGAATCCCATGAAACTAGGTTTTTCTGAAAGCAAACAATATGTTTCATTTAAAAAGTAAAATTGGCCAAAATGACTGAAAAGTTTTAGTTTTCTAGAGGCAAAATGAAACACACACACAACCTGGGTTTTATAATTAAAGCCCAGGTTGTGTGTGTTACGTTTATTGGATCGAATTTCCTACATTTTTCAGCAAACAATTTCAACCAAACATTACAGGACTACGATGAAAACTAGATGAAAGTACCTATTTTAAACTTAATGAAAATGATGCACACGTGTTTCAGCAGGAACAGTTTGCTAAATTAAGGGCCGTATACAGCGAAGAACAACCCTTACTAGACAGAAACTCAATCCACGTGACGTTATTTTTATTGCACGCACCAAACTTCCGGTCTTCCGTAGATTTCATTGGTAAACACATTATTGACAAATTAATTTTTTTATATACGAAGACTCATTAGTTTGTAATAAGTTTTGGAAATTATAATCTGTAAATATATATCTACTTAAAAACAACATCCGTTAAGCTGTACGCGCTTTTCCATAATTTTTAGAAGAATTAACAACATAATGTAAAAATAAAAAACAATGGTTGCGGAAATAAAAAATAATTGTAGGTAATTGTTTTAAAAATTCATTTTCATCGAAATATCTTTTTGCTTTCAGACAATATTGTCCATGTTTATTGAATAAATAAAAAGCAATTAAAAGCTTTTGAAATTAAATAATATTTTTGTTTTATTGAGTTTTTGTATGTTACACTTCAGAGACGATTTTCAGGTAGAAGGGCTCCAACTAAAAAAAAAAAAAACATGATTTTGTTTCCTCAAAGCATTGTGCTTTTAACTGATATAATCACTAAACTCCTAAAATTGAAATTATAGAGTTTTCGTACAATTAGTTAGAGTGGTAAATACATATAAAAAAAAAAAATTTCTGCGATGACTTTACTAAAAAAAATGTATTTATAATAAGTTCCATCATTTGTAAATAGTTTCTGAAAATTTTCATTAAAATCCGACAATTATTTTCATTTTGCAAGATTTTCCAAATTAATGTGTGTCAAACGGGAAAAAAAACGCGCCCAAATGTTTTACGTTAATTTATCAGCCAAGCTGATAAAAAGAGAAACAAGGTCTTTTAATCAAAATTTACAATGTTCTAAAAAAGAAGGAAAATTTAAAAAAATAAGTAAAAATACTTTGATCTTTCCTCTAAAAAAGTAACATAAGCATTTAGACGCGAAAATTTTGTTTTCATCAACTTTGGCGTCTTTTTAATCATGCTATGCTCTTTTTTTAGCGATCCAACAGAGATACCTAGACTAACCTCTTTTTCCTCTATCTCTTTATCCC